TTGCAATTTATAATATATGTATATGTATATAATGTGCGCAAAAATAAACGCAAGGTGCCTGGCGGCACAATGGTACGAGGTGCGCCCAGAGAAACCGGACTCACCCATTGACCCGAGTTCGAGTCCCCAATCTGGGATCCTCGTAATATTTTTTTTTTTAAAAACCGTATTTAAGGAATACGGTTTACAATTAAATCTTGCGTAAATCGTATTCATTGAATACGTTTTCTATATAAATATTAAAAAAAAAAAATTCCTTCTTCTTTCTCCTTACGCGAACAAAACGAACAGAGCTTAGAAAGACAAGAGAGAGGAGAGAAGAGAGAGCAGCGAAGGAGTACTTCGGCCGGAAAAAAAAGAGCACCGCCGCGCGCCGCCGTTTCACTGCAGCCGTACCGCATATCATCGCCGTCTCCTTACCGTCAATAAGGTACATTTGTTCAATTATGACATCAATTTTTACCAAGTTTACCAATTTTCGAATTAGGGTATTTTTTGAATATTGAATATCTTGTTTGATGGAAATGAGATATGTTGATGTAATTGTTGAGTATGTTTGTATGTTAAATTGATGGGTTATTTGAAATGTGATTAGGTTGTATAGTTTGTTTGAGAATATACGATTTCAAGGTGTTCGATAAAATGTCTCAAAGGGGTTCTTTATTTTGAACTTCTTTGCTTGTGTTATTGGCTTTGTTGTTACATACTTATGAATTTGGGATGATTGTGATGAGGTGAAGAGGTGTTGAAGGTGGATATGTGAATTTTTAATATGTTAAATTGTTGTTTTAATTTTATGGAAAGGGGTTTAGGTTTGAAATTATAATGTTATTAAAAATGTGAAATTGTGAACTATTGTGTGAACTTCGATTTTTTGGAATTACGACTCCAATTAGAACTTCGAATTGTGAAGTGTTTTTGTTAATGTTATTAGCATCTATTGTTCTTGATCAATATTACATAATAAATAACTTTAATCGTAATTTATTATTTTTTCCTATTGTTTGTAGATAAATGGCTTCATCGTCATCCTCACAGCCTCAGCAGTACAGTGTGCATCCCGGTCCGAGGGATGAGAGCCTTCTATATCTCCAGTACAAACATCGGGCAGAAGCGATATTTTTAAATGTGCCGGGAGCTCGTGACATGACGTTCTCAAACCGTCGTTTCGACACCCAGTTTTGGAAGGCAGTGCCAAAGCAGACGCTGTCGGTTTGGAGGGCCATCGACCGGACTGGTTTCGGCCCCATGTTTCGAATGGGTCGAGTCCAAGCCGACAACGCCCTCCTCACTGCTCTCGTGGAGAGGTGGCGCCCAGAGACGAATACGTTCCATTTCGATTTCGGCGAGGCCACCATGACGCTCCAGGACGTACAAGTCCTATTCGGTCTGCCAATCGATGGAGCTGCTGTTGTGGGAGTGACTGCAGAGCTATCACCCTTACAGTGGCGAGAGAAGTGCAAGAACTTGCTAGGGTTTGAGCCCTACGTTCAGGTATATTTTTTCATAATTTTTTTTTTTAAATATATGTCAACTCAATATATCATTTTTAATATGTAAAAACTACTCTCAGGATCCTCCCACCACAGAGGCAGATCAAGCAGCACAAAACCCTAGCTCGTGGGAAATTGCTGGCCAGTGGTTGAATATTGGGCCTTTGGAGCGCTCTTGCAACACTGAGTTGCAAGAAGGACAACCGGATATCGTGTACGAGCAGAGGGCGAGGGCCCTTATCTTGTGGTGCATTGGGTCATTCATCTTCCCCGACCAGCGGGCGGATGGCGTCCCACTTTACTGGCTCCAGCTGCTAGAGGACTTCGATGGTATTCAGGGGTACAGCTGGGGTTCAGCGCTCTTAGCCGGAGTATACAGAGCGTTGGCGATCTCGTACGAGGCCAATCAGAAGTGGTTGAAGAACTGTGTTCAATTGATCCAGGTAAATTTATTTAATTATTATTTTAAAATTTAATATTTTATTTTTCTTACTTCGACTAATACCTAATAACAAAATTAATGTCCACTTGTGTAGGTTTGGGCATGGGAGCATATCTCTTGTATTCGCCCAAAGGTGAAGAGATGTTTGTTTGGTACTCTGCCTGATTGTCTATTGGGAGGGAGGTAATCACTTTTATTTTTATTTAATCCGTACATTATTTTCATTATCAAATTTTATGATTACAAACTTTTTTTTTCTGTGATTTTTAAGGTGGGTGGGAC